TTTGTGGGATGTTTCGCCGCTCGCACTCGGACATTCCTTACGGATGCGTAGGGTTTGCTGAGGCATCGTCGCCCAGAGCTCGTGGGGGCTGTTTCTCTCGCCCTGCTCAAACGGGAACTTCCACGAATTTACGTCACGTCCCCCCCCCTGCTTCTGAAAGAAAGGTGGGGGAAAGGAATTTCAGGTATATCCCTGAATAAAGGAATATACTTGATCGTAAAATAAGATCCCTGGTATGATGGTATTGGCATACCCTTGTGCCTTAAAGGGGATCCTAAAACCATAAAGCCCAAACCTCAAACCCTTTATAGGTATTTTTAACGCCCAAATATACATGGCGCTAGAGGGTATGGGAATGACAGGACACCCCTTAGGAGGCAGGGCTTTGGGTTTAGGGCTTTGTTGGAGGAGATCCTTACAAACGAAACCATAAGACAAACAAGAAAATCGTAAACAAGTAGCCAAGAGCCGCCGAGCCAAGATGTTACCAAAAACAACCAACCCAAGAAGGGGCCCAAAGCATGCATCCAAATAACCATCAGTAATAAGGACCCAAGTATGTACTCTCCCTATACCCACAAGAACACCGTCCCGAACCCAAGTACCTAATTACTAGGTCCTTTGGACCCTTTAGGGTAGCAAGACTCGTCGTCTAAGGTTCCAGAGAAAGGGAACGCGAACAGGGAATGTTAGGAAACCATATATGTCAGAAGGGAAGGGTTTTCGAGAATCTTAAAGGGTTTCTGTGAGGCTGATTCCGTTAGCGGACCTCGGGTTTTGGGGGCTTCTTTTGGTATGATTCTGCAAGGGCCTTACGGCTTTAGGGATTCTACAGGGTTGCTTTGTGTTTGGGCCTTGAGGGTTTCGTTGGACCCCTCTCTCAGATCTCCAGTAACCTACGACGAAAACGGGCTCCCTTTTTTGGTATTGGGTATAGTCTATAAGGAGACCTATTCTGACATACCAGAATCTCCAAACAAGTTGCGGCATTCATGCTGCTGGTGTCTGCCACCTGAGATGCGGGCCACCGGAAAGTCTGGCTAGACCCTTGTTTATCGCGACCCCGACTTTCCAAGTCAGCGGTCTACACTAGGCTTGCAGATTCGGGGTCAATGGCTTTCGGTAGACTTTCGGCTTTAAGACTTTGGACTTAGGCTTTAGGCTGGGGCTACCCTTGAACCAAAGTATCGGAACCTGCAGTGGAATCTGCTTCAGGAGGCATCAACCAGGTACCTTCAGGAAGTGTCCATACCAGTGGAGGCTGCGCGCATGGCATAGACGCACAAGACATGCACAGAAGCCCTTGTAACCTGACGGATGTGACCATAATCTTAAGCCTAAACCCTACACCCTAAACCCCACAGAGGCCATTGGAGCAGGAGGGGGAAACATGAGATGACATAAGACGTCGGGTGTCTTTCTGAACTTTGCAACTTTTCACAAACAACCGTCATGGAGACCCTTACAGGAACACATACAGGCAGCTTCAAAAGGTACCTTCACAAAACAGAAACTTTTAGAAACCCTAATTAACCACCGCTATAGGAACCCTGTAGAGACAACCGTGATAGAACTTTGTTGAGCCAAGGGACAGCTTGCTGCAGGCTCTCGAAGCGGAAATGCTTCAAAAACCCTTGCAAGTCACGCTGCGTCCTGCGGGCTTTACAGGTTAGGTTTTTTGGCTTATGATCCTGGCAGTGAGGCGTGGCAATTATATGAAGTATGTAAAGTAAAGGCCATAAGAAGCTCGTAGATAGGACGTGAGCCCATCAACAAAAGGAAATAGCCTCAACTGTAGCCCCCTCATGAAGCACTACAGTTACATAAAAAAAGACAGGAAAGGACATTTCCGAACCCTACGAGCCCCATTCAAAAGAACAAACTCAAACTATAGAGTCATTGCAACAAACCGTAACCCCCCCCACCGAACACGAAAACCAAATCCAACTTCTTCACTAAACCGTAAACCCCAAACAAACCCTCAAACCAAATCCCTCTTCGCCATCGGCACCTGGTAACCTCGAAACCCGAAGCCCCAAAAACAAATCCTTTTTGTCCACTACCTTAACGCTCCTGGACCCTTGTAGTGAGATCCCGGACCCTAGCCCACAAAGCCCAAACCCTCCCCCAGAAAGCCCAAGACCCCTTTGGGAGCCTTAGGGTACTCCCTAAACCCCTAAAGCTAGAACCCTTAACCCTAAGCTTTCAGGGGGTAGTCCTTTGGGAATCTTGGGGAAAGCCGAAGGCCCCCGAACAGAATGGCCGTCCTGGATTAGGACGAAGAGCCCCTAGACCCAGGAGTAACCTGGTAATAAAAAGGGTGCCCTTTTTAGGGTTCAGGGTTTAGGGTTTAGGGTTATAAGGGAACCTGAACCCTACAAAAAGGGAATAAGGGCCTACTCTAGGTCCTAGGCCCTCTCGAACAGAATGGTTGTCCAAGAATAAGACAAACCCTTAGGGATCCAAGGAGGATCTTTCAGAGGTCCTTTACAGGGATCTAGTATATAGGGGTCCTTTAAGGGATCTATAGGTTTAGGGATCTAAGGACTCATATATTCAGGCTTTTGGGCCCAAAGGCCATACTATATCAGGCTTTTGGGCTATGTTGATCCGTAGGGAAGCATCTTGAACCAAACCCGACTGCCCGTAAACACCAAATCCCTCGTCTCCATCAGCCCCTAAACCTCAAACACCAAAAACAAAATCCCTCTTCCCCACTAAATCTAAACCCTCAACCCCAAATCCAAAATACAGGCTCCGTTAACACCCCTCTTACAAAGCAACCATGTGCGGAACCGTACAAAAATGCACTAAGCCCAAAAACCCCGAAGTCCGAAACCCTAAACCCACAAAAGATACTAAAACCCGCTTAAAGATTCCGTCTTAAATTTCCTAAACCCTAAACCTTAAACTAGTAAACCCAAACCCAGAAACTCCAAAACCGTCTTGGCTCCCTCCTGGGTTGGCCCAGAAGTTTCGGATGGAGAGCCAGGTAGAATCGGAAATGGCTGAGCCTTGCTCTTTACAGTTTTAGGGTTTACATTTAGATTTAAAGGTTTAGGATAGGGGTTTAGGGTTTAGGGGTTTAGAGCTTTAGAGGTTTAGGATAGGAGTTTTAGGGCTTCGGGTTCCTTTATTAAAGGCTTGTAGGTTGCAGTTTCCTTGAAGAGTTGTGTAAGGGGCCCATCAAGGGTATAGTGTTTGCTGTTCAACGCTCCATTAACGAAGCATTCTGCAAAAAATACTTGCCAGGACACTATGATACATAGGGGATTCAATCATGACCAGGCGCAGGAGTCAAACCCTGCTTTTCACTTAGTACTTTGGACACTTTGGGTTAGGGCAGGGGTATAGACGGAGGGTCGGGGGACTTAGCAACTGGTTATTTTAAGGACGTATATTATAAGTACCATAACCCCAATTAGGGTTCCTTTTTGGGGTACTTATAAGTCTACTTACTACCTAGTTACTAAGTCCCCCGACCCTCCAGGTAGGCCTTGAGATTTCGGAAGAAAGGCTGAAGTTGAGCAGTTTTGGATTCCAAGATTCCCGCTCCTGCTTCGGTGCTGGGCGTGAGGTCTCTTTTCATCCTTCGGGAAGAAGAAAAGGACCATACGGTTGATGATATAAATCCTGCATTACCCATAATAAGGAATATACCATAATTCCCATAGTTTAGGGTCCTTAAGGTGATGCAGGATTTATATCATCAACCGTACTGCCGGAATGCGCGGCATGGCTTTGGGGTCGCGCCGAGTGCTTGAGTAAGTGGACACAACGGAGCCACAGACGCGCTGCATGGGACAACTTGGTTTGGACACCTGGGCTAACACATGCGTTTACCTGACTGCAGCCTGCTCCCTTCCTTTCTTTTCTCAAAGGGGAAAAGGAGGGACCCTTAATGGGGACCCCTACCCTATAATGGGGCTATATAATTAATTGGTATACACTAGGTGTACTAAGGGTATATACCTAGGGGTCCTTATTAAGGGTCCCTCCTTTTACCCTTGGATTTTCTTCCATATCTTGTTCTGCACAGATGACGGCTCGTTGGTCGTGCCTGGTTATGGTACAAGGGTGCTGCGCACGCACTGCTGCACACCGTCGAAGATGGCTCGCGACAGCTCCCAATTACCTAAACCATAATAAGATAATCAAAACCCTCAACCCTGAACGCTCAACCCTAAGTGCGAAGCTCTAAACCCTCAACCCGACACCCTAAACCCTAAATCCTAAACGGCCCTGTGCAGCAGACGTGTTGGGCCAAACGGCAGGCGTCGCTGCGAAAGAATGGCCCCACAAAAAGGGTTCCTTTCGAGGACCCTCCAAAGGAACCCTGAAAGGAGTCCTTAAGGAACTAAGGCAGGGCTTGACAGGATGTGTGTACTACCGGTTTACATGGCCTTTGTAGCTATATGACATATACTTTGGCCCTGAAGTACCTATGTAGGAACCCCTTGAAGGCTTAAGTATATACAGTCTGGGTACCTATCTTGAACCTGCGTGACGGGCATCCTCCTCAAAAATCTGTAGAGTTCCGAATAAACCCCTAGAGGCCCTAGATCACGTTTTTGCTACTGGACTCAAGTCTAACCCCACATCCCCAACGCCTAACTGCAAAGGCCCGAAACCACGCAACCTCAGAACACTAAGAAAACGACGTCCCCCACGATAGGCAGGACACCTAAACGCCTGCACCCTAACACCTATTCCTCCACAGACCTTAATAATTAGAATAGGGTTTGGGGGCCATTATACTTTCATTTTATGATACTGAGCCCCCAAAATAGCATTGGTAATTATTTAGGCCCTTATAGTAAACACCGGGAGCCTGCAGCTCCCAACCAAAACAACAAAAACCCTAAACCCTAAACCCTACCCTGAGGCTCCCACAGGGGGTCATGGGCTTTCTGTGGGAAGGGTTTGTGCTTTGGGGGCTAAGGTTTGGGATTTCACTACGACGGTCCAGGAGTTTACCCTAAACACCCTTAGCCAGGATGCGGCCCCTTCTCCCGCAGATGCTGGAGCTTGCTCTCGACCTCAGCGGAAGCTGCCAGGAATCTGTCTGAGGTTTTGGCAGTAGCTTCGTTGCTTTAGGGCTTGAGCTGGTTGCTGCTTAGTGTCTGTATGATATATAATATATGATATATATATATATATATATATATACACATATTATGGTGAACCTCAGAAAGGTGGAACATATCAAATTGCACAGCCGACGGCAATCATGACCCAACCTTCTGACTTCTAGCATACCTAGAGGCTCCATAGTAGTTCCTTTTTGGGGATCATATTTAGAATCCTATAAGGTAATCCCAAAAAGGAACTACTATGGAGCCTATGGGTAGAGTCAGACTGGAGTCTAGGTAGTGCAGCTTTTATATGGGAGTTTCCGAAAATTAGGGGTACCTTATTTTGGGGTCCTTATAATAAGGATCCTACGATTTAGGGTACTATATTTGGGTCCCCTATTTTCGGAAACTCTCATATGAGCACCACGCAGGATTGCTCGTGGTCAAGTATAGGTGTCCAGCGATTCAGGGCTTAAGGCCACATGGCCATGCGGTTCTAGAATGCTGCGCGATTCCAGTTTCGCGGATTTCGGCTGCAGCATTCAGGGGTTTTGCGTCTTCAGGTGTACTTACCCTAAAACTCTACCTATAAGGCTCCCAAAGGGGTCATGGGCTTTCTGGGGGAAGGGTTGCGGCTTTGGGGGCTAGGTTTGGGGATCTCACTACGAGGGTCCAGGAGCCTTAGGGTAAGGAGGGTTTGCAGGTGCAAAGACCGCGCTGGAACGCCTGGTGGGCTACTTGGAGCCTTACTGCAACCCTAAACCCTAAACCCTTAGCAGCATTCATAACCGACCCGGCTCCTGCGAAACTTGGCTACTGCAAGTACTTGCGGCCTCTACGGCTGAAACTCCCGATATTGCCCCCCAAGAGGGTCCATACACGCCAGCATTCTGCAACTAGGTCCCCCCAAGCCATGATTACAGTTGCCTTTTGGGGCCTAGTTCCAGAGCATCCAGAATCTAGAGGCCTGGATATATACCTATAGTAATCCTTAGGGTTTCCTTTAAGAGATCTATATGGGATCGACAAGGATTCCATAAGCGTCCTTCAGGGTTTGGCATCTTTGTAGCCTGCGAGAAAACGCCAACCTGCAGGCCTCATCAACAGCAAAGGGGAGTTTCCGACCCTAATATAGGACCCCAAATAGTAGGATCCGTATTATCAGGACCCCAAAATAAGGTACCCCTGATTTTCGGAAACTCCCATATCGTAGAAGCCAGAAAGTTGAAACATCATTATCCTCATGCCCTTAAGGTAAAGTATAAGGGATCCTAGCACTAATCCTCCTAAAGCCATGTTCCCACTTTCTGGCTTCTACTATACTTGGAGGGTCGGGGGACATAGTAAGTAATTGGCTACATCACAGAATTATAGAAGCCATAAGCCCCAAATAGGATCCCGTTCCCAGAGGCTCCGTATATACCACCATTATGGAATTACGTAGGTCCCTAAAACCCGCATAAAACGGTCGTTTAGGACCTAATTCCTTGATGGTAGTATATTGCAGTAGAAGCCCAAAAGTTGGAAACCCCATAGCCTCTATCCTTAAGAGTAATGTATAAGGAATCCTAGCGCTTTTTGGCCTTAATCCGGCTTCCAATTTTATCATAGAGATCCTTAGGGGTGTAGGGGGAGGGGGGGTAGTGGGCCTTAAGGCCCATAATAAGGACTAATAAGGCCTATTTAAGGAAATATAGTCCCCTACACCCCTCCCCCCTACACCCCTAAGGATCCCTATGATTTTATGGGGTTTACTGTATATGGAGCCTCTAGGGTTTAAAGCACTCGGAACTTTACTTAGTACCTATAATTAACTAAGTCTGCCGACCCTGCGAGGAAGATAGGAGTTTTATGGTGTAGGAGCCGTAACAATTAGAAAAGTGTTCTTGGGGCATATTTCCTGGGCTTTTAAGTAGCCAGCGAGAAAGTGTATAAGCTTTCATTTTACAATGGTTCCATTAAGAAAAATATTAAAGTATGGTACTCCAAAGCGCAGTGTCGGTATACCTATAGCGATTATGAATAGTCGCACACAGTAATGATAGTCTAAGAAATACGCGGGCAAGCACATACGACAACACCCACAACGAAAAGTCTATGAACAGATAGCAAAGATCTTGTATAAACGCTCCGAGCTACTGCCATCTCCCCTAGCTTTACAACCGCTGCGCGGTCGCTTTCCACAGTGAAGTTGCCTTCCACCTGAGCTCCCGAAGGGTGGCTTGGAGTTCACCGCTTTAGGGGCCCAGGGTTGGGGCTTAGGGTTGCGGGTTTAGGATTTGGGCTTCTAGTGCTATCAGGGGCTGACAAAACATAGGGCTTTATAAAGGCTTATAGCTGTTTATAGGATTTCTATAATGGCTTTGGATCGTAAGTACCTGCATGGTATTAGGCTACAAGTAAGGCTTCTAGACGTTTCAATTTTCTACATAGGGGACTGTTATTGTGGTTTGTGCAAAACTCCCCAAGTAACCACTTAGAGCCCTTCGGGGTTTGAGGAAAGGATGCAGGAAGTAGGAGCACAGATCAAGCTATGACTAGCCTACAGGAATAGCTTCAACCGGCTTATGTTGCATTATGTTTTGCCATTAATTAAAAGTTTCTCGTTTGCTGCAACATGTGTAAGGGCGTAGAATGGGCAGGGAATCGGGGTTTAATATTTAGAGCGTAATGTAGGAGCCATAATAATTACGATAGGGTTTTGGGGCCCATTATACCATACTTATCATAAAGAACCCCAAAATATTAGATGTAATTATGAAGGCCCCTATTCCTGTAGCAGATGGTTTGAATAAGGAGGCGAGGCTATGAAGGAACATTCAAACCCCTACGCTAGGGTTTAGGCTTAAGCCACTCTTATATAACCCCACACAATATTCACATACAAAACGACGAGCTATCCTAAACTCAACTACAATACTATTCAATCCCTTGGGTAAGGACAGATTACCAGGGATTGTGCAACATGTGGGATTTCGAGGCTGTGTGCAGGTCTGTGCGCACGTGTCGGTGCGTGCGCCCATGTATCTATCCCTGCAAAACCCTAAACCTTAAACCCTAAACCTTAACCCAAAACCCTAAACTATCCTTGTACTTAAGCGGGTACTGCAGCGGTCGGGGGTTGATAATTACTTGGATGGGCAGGGGACTTAGTAAGGGTTCTTAAAGGGCTCCTTAAAGGGATCTATCGGGTTCCTTACAGGGATCCATGGGGTTTAGGGTCTAATTGGAGGCGCAGGGTACTTAGCAGTAAGTAGGTTATAAGCAGAGTACGTTATAAGTACCCTGAATGAAGTCGCCCCAATTATAACCCTACTTATAACCCAACTCACTAAGGGATATTGGGATCTCTGAGGGGTTATCCCTAAACCCTAGACCCCACACCCCTTTTTATGAGCCCCTTATAGATCCCTTTAAAGACCACCAAAGGCCCTGAGGCAGGGACGTCATTGGGTTGCCTGATCTCTGAATTCTAGAGGATCGATCTCTGAGTACCCTAAACTCTTATAGATCCCTTTCAAGGAACCCTTATAATTAGATCCCTTGAAGGGAACCTTTATAGATCCCTTTCAAGGAACCCTATTAATTAGATCCCTTGAAGGGAACCTTTATAGATCCCTTTCAAGGAACCCTTATAATTAGATCCCTTGAAGGGAACCTTTATAGATCCCTTTGAAAGAACCCTTATAATTAGATCCCTTGAAAGGAACCTTTATAGATCCCTTTCAAGGAACCCTTATAATTAGATCCCTTGAAAGGAACCTTTATAGATCCCTTTGAAGGAACTCTTAAGTTCGAGAGGATCCTCATAGTCCCGCGACATTGGAATCTCCTTTTGAGTAGTGCCAGAAAAAAACAAATCTACCCCACACAAAGGTAGGTCTAGGCTTTAGGGTTTATAGGGTTTATAGTTTAGGGTACCCCGCTACACTCAGAGATCCCAACCTCCCTTAATGAATAAGGAATATACCTTAAACTGTAGGGGCCATAATCTTATGGTTTAAGGTATCCTCCTTAATGAAGGGTTTTTGGGATCTCTGGGTTAAAGGTAGGTAGCCTGCTTTTAAGCAAAACCCGTTTGTTTTAAGCCCACGTCCCGACCTAAAATCGTCAACTATCTACATAAAACAGATCTGGCTCGAGTCATAGACAGCTCCTAGATGAGAGATCCTTGATTACGGGACGATGGAGCTTCCTCTGCTTACTTTCACCCCAAACCCCAAAACACCCTAAGCAAGACCTTTAAATGACACAAAGCCGCGATCGTGTTGTGCTGCCAGTCCAGGGGGAACATGAACTCTGCCTCGCGAGCAGAGTAGACGACGATGACCTGCCCACGAGAGCCCGATACATGCCCCCAGAGGGTCCAAGTACCATAGGTACCCTTAGGGGGGTAAGGGGAACGGGGGGGGAGGGGACTATACTTCCTTCTGCCGGCCTTACTCGGCTTAACTCCGAACACATTAGCCCAAACACTTAGCAGCGCTGAACCTCAAGCCTTGGACCAACCTTGAAGACCTGAGCCCAAACGGGTTCCTATTTCTGGACTTTGAAGTAACCAGGGAGAAAAAAGTATAGACTTTTATTTCATAATGGTTCCTTTAAGGAACAGGTACCAAAAAAGTATTCAAGTATGGTACTCTCAACCCAGGATTTTCCATCCTTTCAGCATGTACTCCGTGAAATCCTCTTCCTGTACAGTGAACCCCATAAAATTTGGGCCCCGTTTAGGGTTCCTTCATCATAGGGATCTTCTATAAGGGTACTACAGGGTTTAGGTAGGGTTTATGTAACGTTATACAGTAAACCCCACAAAGTTGGAAACCGGATTAAGGCCAAATAGTGCTGGGACTCCCTATACATTACCCTTAAGGATTGAGGCTATTGGGTTTCCAACTTCTTTGGCTTCTACTGAAATTAGTAGTATGTTGTCCTTCTAAGCCTTGCTGATAAGATACTTGTCTACCGTAAAAGTCTCATGAACCAAAGAATAAAGCAGAGAGGTGCAGCGTCTGGAATTTGGGGTTGCGGTTGGGGTTTAAGGTTCAGAGATCCCTGGGCAAACCCAGAACAGAAAAGCCGAGCCACCGAGGTGTCGGCTTTGTTGGAAAGGAGTCGACACCAAAGCCTCAGTAGGTCCATAGGCAATATACCCTTAATATAGCCATCATATACCCATTATATAGCCCATTATTTACCTAAACCTTAAACCCTAAAGCCTCAATATAGCCCCTTAAAAAAGGCTATTATATACCCATTATAGGGTAGGGGCTCCATTAAGGATCTTTCCTTTTCCCCTTTGAGTAGGTCGAGTTTGGGTCGAGGGACAAGGGTTCCCTTTAAAGGGTTCCTTAAAGGGGTCTATAAGGGGTCTGTAGTAGAGGTATATGGTAAAGGGGCCTTCATAATTAGAATAACCTAAAGTTTGGGATTCATGGGCTTGGGCTTCAGGCTCGCAGGTCTTAGGATTCTGGTTTTGGGGGGTCAGAATCTAGGGTCTAGGCCACCGAAGGATCAACTACAACTCTTCTGCCCAACTAACAAGACCTCCATCAACCAGCATGCTTAAAGATTAAGGCGAAGGCGTCGTGTTAGGGAGAAAGGAAGTCGTTATGACGGCCCGAAGCTACAAAGACTGGAGGCCGCACGGCTTCGACAAGACAACCCGTGTCCTAAACACGACCCTAAGCCCGTAAACCCTAAAACCCCAAACCCTAAGCCCTGAACCCCTAAACCCCTGAACCCTCAACCCTATACCCCCGAACTCTAAACCCTAACCCCCAAGCCCCAAAACCCTGAACCCCACACCCCTAACCCCCTGAACCCTAATTCCTGAACCCCTAAACCCCCAAACCCCCTAAAGCCCTAAACCCAAACCTCCAAACCCTTGAACCCCTAAAGCCCTAAACCCAAACCCCCACACCCTTGAACCCTAAACCCCTAACCCTGGGCAGCAAAATAGCCCAAAAGCCTTTAATATATGAGTCCTTAGATGCCCAGGGTAAAGCCCCCTAAACCCTAAACCCTAAACCCTAAAGCACCCTACGCCTGGGACCCTTCCCTTAAGGCTCCTATGATCCATTCATCCGCTGTTTTAAGAACTGGGCTTAGGGTTTGGGGTTTAGGGTTTAGGGTTTAGGGTTTAGGGTTTAAGTAGCCAGGGAGAAAAACCCCCAAGGGTCCAAGTACCCGAATAGTAGAGTTTCAAGGTCTAAAAACCATTCACAGTATGGATTTTGGGACCTAAAACCCTGCTATTTGGGTACTTGGACCCTCTGGGAAAAGTGTAAGCTTTCATTTTTTTAATGGTTCCATTGAGAAACAAGTACTAAACTATGGTACTCCAAAGCCCAGAGAATCATAGTAGAATGGCCTCAATAATTAGAATAGGGCTCCTTTTAAGGGTTCCAGTAAGGGTTGCTATAGGGGGTATTACGGGGGTTTAACATAGGGGCCTCAATAAAATGGAACAGGGTTTTGGGGCCCACTATACTACTATACGATGATAAAGAACCACCCTAATAGTATAGGTAATTAAGATACCCTGAACCCCTGAACTCTAGTAGCACCTGCTTTTAGAACCCTGCAAAAACTACGGGATCTAGAACCCCAAGACCCCCCCAAACCCTAGACCTCAAACCTTCAGAACCCCATTTAAACCCTAAAGCCCTAACTAGGTTTCTGAGTAACCCCTTTATAATAAGGCTACCCTTTTTCCTACTATTCGGTTTTAATAAGGGGACCCTAAATTAAAAAGGGCAAAAGGGCACTACTCAGGAACCTAGCTAGAGCTTAATATAGAACACTAAAACCCTAAATCCTAAAGCTTAAACTGGAACCCGAAGACCCCGAAAACCTGAACCGCAAAGTCGTAAACCTCAATATGGAACCCTGAGACCCAGCCAGGGAAATTAGACAGTTTCCCAAGTTGCCACCTAGTGAACCTAAAAAACCCTAAACCCTAAACCCTAAAACCCTGAAACCAAAAACCTAAACCCTAAACCCTAAGCCCTAAACCCCACACCCTAAACCCTAAGCCCTAAGCCCTAAACCCCAAACCCTAAACCCTAAGCCCTAAATCCCCAAACCCAAAACCCCAAACCCTAAACCCAAAACCCTAAACAGGCCGAGGGTCTCGGCTCTGCACCAACCCCGCGAGAGCCATGTGGAGTAGTTCACCAGGTCGCCCCTGCAAAGTGGCAAAGAGCTCTAGCCTTTAGCCCCCATATACATATACATACATATATATATATATATATATGTGTGTATATGTATATGTATATATATATATGTATGTATGTATATATATATATATATATGTATGTATGTATGTATGTATATACTACCATTGTCGAATTTGGTCGCTGAAACCATAACAAGGATGGTTTTTTGGTGGGATTCTAATTCCAGAATTGTAGTCTACATGGACCCTCTGGGCAAATGTCCAAAGGACCCGATGATTAGGTACTTGGTTTTATGCTAGCCCGAAGGGTCCATGTACTCAAATAGTATGTGCATTGGCCTCCCAAAGTACCTATATAGAGACTACTTGAAGGCCAAAGTCTATACTGTTGGGCACATGGACCCTCAGGATAGTGATTTTCCAGGCTAGTACTTGGGAGCGTATATGACTATTAGGACCTTACTTGGAGGGCAGGGGACTTAGTACGTGGGTTATAAGTAGGGTTAAAGTTGGGGTAACTCAATTTAGGGTACTTATAACTCTACTTTTCACCTAATTACTTACTAAGTCCCCTTCCCCTCCAAGTACGGAAGGATGCAACTAAAATACAGGCCCAGAGATCAAGCACTCGATTATGCGAAGAGGTGCAGGATCGGTACTTGAAGGCCAGGGGGACTTAGTCAGTCGGTAATAAGTCGGGCTATAATTGCGGTAGCTCCATTTAGGGTGCTTACCAGGGACTTAGTAAGTCGGTAATAGGTAGGGCTATATTGCGGTAACCCCATCTAGGGCGCTTATAACTCTACGTATAACCTACTTACTAAGTCCCGTGGGCCTCGAAGTACTCCCAGCATGATGGCATACGGTTGATGATGTAAATCCTGCATTACCTTAAGGACCCTAAATGATGGGAATTATGGTACATGCCTTGTTATGGGTAATGCAGGATTTATATCATCAACCGTAGTGCCGAGAGTGACGCCAAAGCCCCAGACCCAGACCGGGAGGATCTGATAAGTAGATTAGTTTCTTCAAGAGATCTATGGTGTTCATTTCAGGGATCTCTAGGGCTCCTTCAACGGATCCGTAGGATTTAGGGTTTGGGGTCTAGTTTGGGGCACTACCTACCAAAGGGTACTTTAGAGGAACCCCCCTTTAGGGATCTACTTGCTAGATCTTCCCAAACTTAAGCTTCTGGGACTCTGACTGACCACAGTCTATTGCAAAGCGACCAAAATCCTCAAGAATGGAAAATCATTGCATGCCGCTACCTCTATTTACCCTCGTTCTTATTTCTCGCTATACTCCTTGAACTGCTGGAATGATACGGTTGATGATAGAAATCCTGCATTACCTATAATAGAAAATATACTATAATTCCCACATATTCCCTATTTTGGGTAATGCAGGATTTATGTCATCAACCGTAGCCCAGGGATATGGAGAGGAATGTAGCTTCATGTCCTGCCGGAGGACTAGGGCTTCTTCCTGACGTTGATGATGTTAATGATTAGGGTTGAAGTTGAAAACTGATGTAGACGATTAGAGACGTAGAATTTATATAGGAACCCTAATTATTGACAATGTTGTCCAGCTTTCCGGGTGTCGGGACTCTAAAGCTTTGAGGTTTAATCAGAGCTTCTTGGCTTGCAAACAAATGCTAATGGCCGCCCAAGAGCCCAGCTACCTTACCTGGGTCCTGCGACCCGAACTGCAGGCGAGGTGCGAATCTTTGTGTGAGAGTTCAGAGACCAGGGCAATAAAGATGTTGGAGAGCTCCACATAGGCAGGAATGCCTTGGAAACGGCTTGGGGTTTAGAGAATCTGCTGCGGAATGCTTTGGTTTGCGGAACTGCTGCTTAAGGCCCAGAACTGCCGCCCCAAACCACCCCTAACTGCTAAACCCTAAACCCCAAACAAGACGCATCCGTATAAAAGTCCCACAAAAGGACACTGAGCTGTTCAACGCCCTGCCTCTGACCTCCCTCACTTGGAGGGGCCGGGGACTCAGTAAGTAGGTTATAAGTGGGTGGTTGTCAAAATTATGGTCCATTTCTGGGTACCCCAAACAATAGGTGCCGTATTATAATAAGGACCCAAAAAGAGACCATAATTTTGACAACCACACAAGTAGGTTTATAGATGGGGTAACTCCATTTAGGGTACTCTTAACCCTACTTACAGCCTACTTACTAAGTCCGCTGCCCCTCCAAGTATCCCTACAGAAACCCCTATAGATCCCTTTGAAAGGACCGTAAGCCCTGAACCCTAAACCTCAAGACACCCGATATTTCCCTATTGAAGGACCCTAAGCCCTGCACCCTAAACTCCTGCATGATGAACTCTAGAGCACGAGAAGGACCGAATGACCCTCAAGCTGGTGGCATCTTCTACAACAACCATCGGGGTAGTCCTCTTAAAGAGTCTGCAAGAGTTTCTTTAAGGTTCTTATAAGGGAACTATAAGGGTTACCACGCGGGGTTTAGGGTTTAGGTTGATGATATAAACCCTGCATTACGCGCAATCAGGAATATACCATCGCTCCCATAAACTAAGGCCTGGGGTCATTGAGGTAATGCAGGATTTACATCATCCGTAGATTCTCGAAATTGGGGTCCCTCTTCAAATCCACCAAACTAGTACGGCACCCCTATACAAAGGGCGCGAAAAGGAACCCTAATATCGAGAACTACCAATTGCGATATGCGACAGGAACCAGAACCATAAGAGTCTTAGGGGTTTGGGCGTTTATGGTTCAGGCTTTGGGGTTGAGGATGCGGGTTAATGGGTTCAGGGGGGTGAGAGCGCCAACTCGCCACGACAGCTCTCCCATTGTCAAGGCATCATACAAGAGTTTGAACGAACAATCTCTAACCGTATCTCCGTCTAGCCCCCTAAACTCTAAACCCTCTATAATTGCTGGAATATGCCCCCTTTAAGGTTCGAATGGTGCCTAAGGAGCCCCTTCAAGCTGAGCACAAGAGACGTACACCTTACACTCCACGGACCCCAATCCCTTCTACAAACATTGCAAGAATCCTCAGAAGAATCTGGAAAAGCCAACAAAACAACTTTAAATCCACAAACCCAAAACGCAACACCTAAACCCCTAACCCCCTAAACCCTTCAGCCCTAAATCCCAGTTTCTAAAGCCCCCAACATGCGGCAGCCCTCTGTCTAGGTCCCCAAAACTAGTACGGCACCCTGATAACATGCACCCTACAAGGGCGCCAGATTTCAAGAACTACCCATATGATGTTTGAACTTTGAACCTTAAACCCTTTTCGGCTTCACTGGGTTAAGACATCTTTGTATAACCCCTATAAACCTTAAACCCTAATTTAGAGAATTACCCTTATAGCACCCTAATCGAAACCCTACAAACCCTTATAGACCTGAGCCGTGAACCCTAAACCCGAAAGACACCCTGCAGTTCCCGTTAAGGTGCCCTGAAAAGGGGACCCTAATTCATAGGTTTAGGGTTTAGGGTCCCATCAAAGCCCGAGGTGCTCTGAACCGCGAGAGCCGCGTCCGACTTCGTCGCCTCCTGGATTCGACGAAACCGTGATAGGGCTCATAGGACTTGGACTTAATGACTTACAGGGCTCCTTAAAGGGATCCATAGGGTTTCAGGGTCTAAGGTTTGAAGGCTCATGGGACTTCGTAGGCTCTACAAGAAGGACGCCGTGACAGGGTACCATGGGTTCTAGAAGAGGTTTCCTTCACGGAAAGGCGTGGGGCTTGTGGGTCTAGGGTTGCCGAGGCATAGGGTTTAGCGTACAGGCAATAGGGTTTAGGGGTATAGGGGGTCAGGGTTTAGGGGAATACTGGGCAGGTAACATATGAGAAAGTAAGTGTAGGGAGGAAAAACAAGGATATAACACAAGCATGTATGTATGTACATACATACATACATACATACACACACCCAGGGGCTGCTAATCTACTAGCATTATGGATTCAGGTCCCAAGAAACCATCCGCAGCATGCTTCGAGGGACCCAGCTCCATAATGGTAGCTGGGTTTTTACTCGGAATTTAGTTTAAGATACCATGATAGGGAATTAAGGCACCCTTTTTTCATATGGACCCTCTTGGGCATGCACACGAGCACTGCTGAGCGATCTAGCGAGGGCTCCCTCAAGAAGCCTCACATCTACTTGGAGGGGCACGGGACTTAGTAAGTAGGTTATGAGTAGCGTTATAAGTACCCTAAATGGAGTTACCCCAATTATAACCCTACTTACAGCCTACTTACCAAGTCCCCTGCCCATCCAAGTAGACCCTAAACCCTAAACCCCATAGATCCCTTTAAGGAAGCCTATAGACTTATAAGTACCATAACCCCAATTAGGGTCCCCTTTAGGGTACTCTTGAGTCTACTTACAACCTACTTACTAAGTCCCCTGCCCATCCAAGTAGAACCGGGACCCGAAGCCAGGCCTGGGTTCTTGTCCCTAAGGGTCCATGTACTCCTATAGGGTTCCTTCAAGGGTTTCTTTGAGGGTCTACTATAAGGGTTCTATATGGGTTTAGGATGGTTTAGGGATTTCGGGTCCATGTACTCATATAGTATATACATCGGCCTTAAAGTACTCCCTGTAATACAGGTAGATTGGGCCCAAAGCACATGCCATATGGGTACATGGACCCTTAAGGTGTTGTGGAGTTTGATCTAAAGTTACCATAAAAGGGACCTATGGCAAATGCTTCGGCCGCTCGGGCTGGGAACTTACCACCACAAGGATCTCTAGTAATTAAATGCCGGGGTTTCCTGGCTACGGTAACCTGAAGCCCTAAACCCCAAACCCTAAACCCTAAACCCCAAACCCTAAACCCTAAACCCTAACCCTAAACCTAAACCTAAACCCCAAACCCTAAACCCTAAACCCCAACCCTAAACCCCAAACCCTAAACCCCTAAATCACCAACTTGTATTCAGCCTCATTGATGCCATGCGTTCGCGCCGTGATCTGAGGAATAGCGAACCTGAGCTACACAGCTCCGAGTTAGGGCTTAGGGTTTAGTTTTGTGTTTTTGTTGTTCGCTTCTTTTCTCCTACACGGTTTAGGGTTTAGGGTAATAATTTCAAGCCGTTCGTAGAGGGATCGCTGCTAAACGCTGAAAGCTTTGCAGGCTTTGCAATTGACGGCTTCGGGCTTGCATGGATCGAGGTTGAGAGCTGAGGGTTTAGGGTTTAGGGTTTGGGCTTTCTGTGTGATGTTTCGGTCTTCTTTACGCGTCGTGCCCGAGTGCCCAAAATGCTGTACTCTTCGGTCCGAAATTTCCTGTATCCGAAGCCCATTACCCACACTCTCAAGGATCTCGAAGATATAAAACCTCCTTCAATCTACCGCGCTGGGGGTTCGATTTCTTGGATACTTCAGGAGGTCCGGGTAAGACTAAAGTGCAAACCCTACCACTGCTGGGACCGTATGCAAACATGATCGAGAAGCGATGCATTCCCACTCCAAAGCCCCCCAAAGCCCATTAAAGAACATAGCTGTAGAGAGACTGTTGCTAGGGCTTAGGGTTTAGGGTGCTTTGGGGTTTTGGGGACAATTTCACTATACGTATAATAAGGATCTCCCGAAATCGTATAGATACTTATTTAGGCGCCTACAGTAGGTCTCCCTAAACCCTAAACCCTAAACCTTGGAAGAACAACAGAAAAGACTAGGAGCCAATCGAAGAAGATGAAGCCGTCGGCGATGTGCTGCCGGGCATCCAAGGAAAGGTTCCTTCCAGTCGGGCTTCTTCAAAAACCCTAAGTCCTAAAGCCCACCCTAACCCTGAATAACCTCCCTTTTTAGGGGTCCTTCTTATGATTTCCTTGTATAAGTCCTTAAACAAGTATATAGGTTATTCCGGCTTAAGGCAAACCCAAAAGCCCCTAAACCCTAAACCGTGGCTTTGGATTTAGGGTCTAGGGTTCAGGCGCTGAGCCCACAGCCCTGAACCCAAAGTGCCTGAACGGTTTGGGGTTTAGGGTATTATACAAGGCCCACGGGTTTTGGCTTTAGTGTTCTGGGTTTAGGGTTTAGGGGTGCGCAGAGAGGCCAATTAATCAAGTGTATACGTATCTGAGCGTTGAGGACAATTGTTTAGGGTGGAATTTTGGGTTTCCTATAGGCTCCATATATACTACCAGTATGGAATTAATGAACCCCCGAAGACCATCCTTTTGGTGGTTGTAAGGACCTAATACCATTATAGTAATATGCGTGGAGCCTCTGGGTTTTCTTCTCGCCTTAAAAGTAAGCCTAAACAAGTAGGAGTTAGGATTAGGGCGACCCTTGGGGATGTGGACCCGCTCAAGAAGGTCCCGTTTAAGAGAGCCAGAAGTAGGGTTAACAAGGGTACCCTTTAAGAGGTCTCCCTAACATACCCAAGACCAAAGCTCAGGCAACAAGGGACTCGCCAGCGTCAGAAATGCCCAAACCTCCTTGCCAAGACCCTGGGTCCTTCGAGTATTATAATTATTGCCCTATGGACAGAAGCCTCACAGACCCTTTAAACAAACCCTTGAAGGAGCCGTAGTCTCACCCGTACCAGTCTGATGTGCTTATTGCCCAACGCAGCCAGATACTGGTTGTTTGGTAGAGTGGCTTCGCATCATCAACAAAAAGATGCTCATTTAGATGCAGCCACGCACCAGAGCCATGACCAACACACTGCTTCATACAAAGTAATTACGGGGTTGCATAGAAGCGTCATGAGAGTGTCCGGCAATACATCGTATGGTTCCTGCACTGTGAATATGTCTCACCCAGATAGGTACACTAAACCCTGGGCCCTGAAAGGAAGCCTTTATGGCACCCACAAAGGAACACCTATGGTGCCCTATAAGCCCATCTCACTTTGAATAACCACAACCACTTACACTTACCTATTTCTTCGGCACCCTGAAAATATCTTCTCTCCTCCCTGGGATCTCCTAAACCTAAACCCTAAACCGCAAGCCGTAACATGAAGGTTTCCCAAAGCCCTAGGGCTCAGGCTTCCTGTTCTGAGGCTATCAGGCCCAAGAGACTGTAGTAATTATAGTATTGTTATATACTAATATATGTATATGTATATATATATACAGATATATATATATATATATGTATATATATATATATATATACACTCGTGTATCTAGACACAAACTATTTACATCACCCTTTGATTGTGTACATATAAATGTATACATAAAGACAGCGAGAGAGAGAGAGAGAGAGAGAGAGAGATATATATATATATATAGCCCACTCTCGCTCTCTATCTCCTTTTATCTTTCTCTTTCTCTATCTCTTTCTCTCTGTCTCTCTCTCTCTCTCTCGCTTTCTCTCTCTCTCTCTCTCTCTCTAAATGCCAGTGTGCGTGTGTGCGTATGTGCGTGTGTGCGTGTGTGGGTGTGTGGGTGTGTGGGTGTGTGTGTGTGTGTGCGTGTGTGTGTGTGTGTGTGCGTGTGTGCGTGTGTGCGTGTGTGCGTGTGTGCGTGTGTGCATGTGTGCGTGTGTGCGTGTGTGCGTGTGTGCGTGTGTGCGTGTGTGCGTGTGTGCGTGTGTGCGTGTGTGCGTGTGTGCGTGTGTGCGTGTGTGCGTGTGTGCGTGTGTGTGTGTGTGTGTTGTGTGTGTGTGTGTGGTGTGTGTGTGTGTGTGCGGGACCAAAAGCCTGCGTAGTCTAAACCCTAAACATAAACCTCAAGCCGTAAGCAGCAACCTGCCTAAACTCTGCAATAGGGGCCTTCATGATTAGACGCAGGTTTGCCCATTATAGTATAATAAAAATATGGAACCCCAAAACAGTATAAGTAATTATTAAGGCTTGTATAGTACATGCCGAGCCACTTGTCGACAGACATCGAGATGATGTCCTCCTTGGGGACACAGCAGCCCGACCCGGGCTTTTAGGGTTTAGGGTTTCGGGGTTCAGGGTCTAAAGCTTAGAGTTTAGGGCTTTAGGGACTTAAGGGGGTGTAGGGTGTGGGTTTGGGACCCGGTTGATGATATGAATCGCATTACACCCTAGAGTATGGGATTTATGGCACAGTCCTCATTCCCAAGGGATCACAATAGCCCCAAAACCTTATATAGTATGGTCTTTGGGTGCAAAAGCCTTAACAAATGAGTCCTTAGATCCTTAGGGATTCTGGGTAATGCAGGATTTAAACCATCAACCGTAGTATAGCTTCAATTGGGAGTCCTAAGGAACAATATTGGTAATTCTGCCTCTATAGAGGTTTAGGGTTTGGGGTCTTCTAGGGGATTTTAGGGTTTGGGGTTCAAGGGTTTAGGGTTCAGGCGTTTAGGGCTTAGGGTTTATAGTTACGATCCTTTGGGTCCTTGGGTGGCTTCTGCTACCCAGACCTTCCAAGATCCCTTAAATAAGGAATATACTTTAAATCTTATTAGGGATCCTACTATAATTTAAGGTATATTCCTCAATTAAGGGATTTTGGAAGGTCTGGGTACTGTCCAGTGTGCATGGAACTCTCTGAGACAGGACCTTTTCGGTCTACGGGTTCTATGACTGAAAAATGTGTTGATAGGCCCAGAACTTCCATAATCCATTAATTTAGGGATATAGCTTAAATCGTATTAGGGATCCTACTAATTATAATTTAATCCATATTCAAAGTTAGGGGATCTTGGAAAGTCTGGGGGGTTGTGGTTGGTTGTGAAGGGCTCTTTGTGTGACCACCCTAAGGCTTCCAAGAGGGTCATGGGATCTCTGGGGGAGGGTTTGGGCTCTGGGGGCTAAGGTTTGGGATCTCACTACGAGGGTCCAGCAGCCTTAGGGCAGACCACAAAACTCCAAGTCGACAAACTCGATATGGATCAAAGAGGAAAAGGAGGGACCCTTAATGGGGACTCCTACCCTATACTGGGCTATATCAGGGTTTAAGGTTTAGGTTGATGATCTAAATCCTGCATTACCCACTATAAGGAATATGCCGTAGGTCCCATAGTTTAGAGTCCTTAGGGTCATGCAGGAAATTGTCCATCAACAGTGTGGGGCGCATGTCGTAACGGCCAGCACATTTGCTCGCCCCTACAGTCTCTACCTTCTTGGACCCGATAAAACCCTCCTTGTGATGATTTCCGTGTGTTTGAACAGGTTGCTCAGTTTGGAGTTAATGGTCAACCCAAAACCCTAAACCGTAGACCCCCGTAGCAAGCTGAAACCCCATTCCAGCAAAGGGTCCATCACTTGCAGGGAGCCGTCTATCATGCCATGAAGCGTCTTCTGCAGCCTCCACACCTGCCACAATGGGCAAAGGAGGGCTATAGGGCTTCTTGGTTCTACATTTAAATGTCTCCTTGACAGAGCCAACAACCCTACGGTTCCAAATGCCCAAATAGCGAGCTTCAAGTAATTGTAATTCAGGATGCTGTGCAGTACGGTTGATGATATAAATCCTGCAATACCTTAAGGATCCTAAGCTATGGGAATTATGGTATATTCCTTATTATGGGTAATGCAGATTTATATCATCAACCGTATGTAAGCCCCAAGACGGTACCGTCTGGGCGTTACAGGGCCTTCGAAAGCAAAATGTGACGCAACACAATTCTATTGTAACAAGTTAGGAGACCCGATTAGCCCCTTAAACACTCTGATCTGCAGTTTGAACAATTTTTGGGCCATGGAAGTCTGATACTAAAGAGTTCAGCTTCCGAACAATCAGATTGCAATAGACAGAGATCCTTCACCCAGACTGCCGGGAGGATCCAAAAAGTAGATCCCTTAATGGGCTTCCTGTAGAGTACCCTTAGTAGTATAGGGCCCCAAATTAGGGGATCTACTTTCTGGATCCCAAACCCTAAGGCCCTAAACCCTAAACCCCTAAACACCCAAACCCTAAACTCTAAACCCCTAAACCATTTATAGGATCTACTTTCTAGATCCCGGGGGTCTGGGCAATAGTGTTCAAGTACTTTGGAGGGTTCTGGATCCGAGGGCACCTGTGGTGTCGCTGTGCTCCTGGCATACTTAAAGGACCATGGGACTTAGTAACTAGGGTTCCTTACAGGGCTCTTTAAAGGGATCTATAGGGTTCCTTAAAGGGATCTATGGGATTTAGGGTGTGTGTGTGTGTGTGGACTCTAAAGGTCTACTTAAAGGACCATGGGACTTAGTAACTGGGAATATGATTAGGGTAACTACACTTATAAGCCCATTAAGGTACCTATGATCTTAATTACTAAGTCTCATGACTCATGATCCTCCAAGTACAGGGCTCAAGGCTGAAATTCCATGCTGTGATGACGCAAGTTTGAGGGTTTAGGGTTTAGGGGTTTAGGGTTTAGGGCTTCGGGTTTAGGGTTTAGGGGATTGTAAGATAGATTATACAAGGCATATAAACTATGGGTATAGCACTCTCCGGGGACGCTCCACCAAATAAAAGACCGTAAGAACCCCTAAGAAGCCTCAACGACATTGCATGATAAGGGAAACTTGAAACCCCATAACCCGAAGCCGAAACCTCGAAATCGGCCATGAAATTGCAGTAGTAATGGCAACTAGTAATATACGTAACGAAATAGAAACACTAGCCGTAGCCATAAGAACCGTTACCTCTTCATTAAGGATCCCTTTGAAGCCCTAGACCCTAAACCAAAAAAATCAAAGTCCTTACCCTACGGGTCCATGTACTCATATAGTATATACATTGGCCTTCAAGTACTCCCTATATAGGTACATTTGGCCCAAGGTATATGCTATATGGGTACATGGACCCTCAGGGCATGATAAAATCCCCTGTTGTGCCTGCTCGCCCTCCGGATCGGGATGACAGGAGCTAAGCCATTGATGCGACACGAATATCACGAACATTCCCGGATACCTGAGGGTTCAGGGTGTTTAGCGTTGAGAGTGAACGGTTCAGGCTTGAGGGCGTAGAGTTACAGGTGTAGGGTGTAGGGTTAAGGGCCCAGGGTTGAGGGTTTAGGGTTTGTAGTTGAGGGTGTAGGGTGCATGGTGCAAGGTGGGTTGAGGGCGTAGGGATGTTTTCACGGGACGCATAGGGACTTTGGTGTTTGGGTTGTTGCCGATCGTGGTCTTCTACACTTGCTTGAATTGAATCGTCGGGCTGTGTACCAGTGTAGCGGGTGGGGGGGGGGTATACTATACCATACACTATACGGCATACCCCACTATATACGATACTGCATTTTCTACTACAAACCATTCTATGTTCTGGGAAGGGCGAGGGGAATCCCGTAAAGGAACTCTTCAAAGATGCCTCAAACCATATAGTAGAAGCCAGAAAGTTGGAACATGGGTTTAGGAGGATTCGTGCTAGGATCCCTTCAAACTTACCTTAAGGGCATGAGGAGAATGATGTTCCAACTTTCTGGCTTCTACAACCTAAACCCTAAACCCTAAACCCTAAACTGAAATCCTGAAAGGAGCCCTCATCTGATCCCTTAAAGGGACCCTTATCTAATGCAACCCTATAGATCCCCTGAAGGGACGCCTAGAGGAACCCTATGGATCCCTTCAAGGAGTCCCTAAAGGACCTTCTACCGGAACTTATGTAGATTCCTTAAAGCAGCCCTTAAACTGGACTTTAAGTGACGTCGGAGAAAACAGCATGAGCTTGTGTTTCATAATGGCTCCTTTAAAAAAATATACTCCAAAGCCCAGTTCAGGCAGCTTAAACCCCTAAACTCTTAAACCAAAAACCCTAAACCCTGGAGTCCTCAAAGGGCACCCCGATTGAGACCGAGGAGCCACTGGTGCAAAAGGCCCTTCTGCTGGAGGACATGGTGAGGTTCCGGCGGCCCAGACATGTTGAGGAAGTCGGAAACCTCTAGGGGGCTTAGTACGGGCTCTTAAAGGGATCTATAGGCTTCCTTGAAGGGATCTATGGGGTTTAGGGTTTAGGGTCTACTTGGAGGAGCAGGGGACTTGGTAAGCAGGTTATAAGTAGGGTTATATAATTGGGGTAACTCCATTTAGGGTACTTCTAACTCTACTCATAACCTACTTACCAAGTCCCCTGCGCCTCCAAGTAAAGTTAAAGGATAGGGTTTAGGGCTATGGCATTTTCTATAGCGGAACTAAAGCGTAAGTCGGAGACCTCTAGAGTGTAGGGTTGACCTAAAACGTCTAGCATTTCTGGGGCTTAAGCTTTTCTGAGGACTATAAATAGGGAGGAAGTCGGAAACCTCCAAAGTTGAAGGATAGGTTTAGGGCTTTAGCTTTTTTCAGGCTTGTCGGTTTTATAAGGGTTTAAAGTGTAGGGATTTTTCTTTCGAAAAAGCGTAGCACCCCATTCTCGGCCGATGGCGGGAGCAAGCAATCCAGCGACCTCTTTCGCACAGAACTTCCACACAGCAGCTGGTGCTAGGTGGGCAGGCAGTGCCTTGCCTGGCGGCAGTTTCTGCTCCTCCTGCGACATATTGAAGACCTGATCCATGTGGTGTCGGGACTGATATGGCTGTCCCTGGCAGAACTTGTTGTGACTATGTTCCAATAATTCCTCGAGCTGCCTTTCCGGGGGGAGGATGGTCCCATTCTTTCCGCTGGTGGCGACTGTTCCAAGAACACCCCAAAAACTCACCGTTCCACGATCACAGGTCTGCCCGAGGTCGCAGACCAGGTCTGCCAGATCCTAAAAGGGGCAACCTTCCGATGATTGCAAGGCTTTAGGGTTCATCAATATATAGGGTCTGCTTCGTGAAACCGTCACCTCGACGTCGGCCTCCCGCGCTTCATCGTTGGCAATCAACCAATAAACATCCGCCTGACACCGAAGCCCTTCAAGGCTTATAGGGGGCTAGGCTCTGGGCTTTAAGGGATTACGGAGTAGGTATGACGGGTTGGGGCTTGGGGCTGAGGGTCCTGGATTTCCTCTCTTCTTCAAAGAAAACCGGGCATAGAAGGCTCAAACTTCCTATACTACGGTTGATGATCTAAATCCTGCATTACCTTGTTAATTAAGGACCCTAAACTATGAGAATTATGGTATATTCCTTGTTATGGGTCATGCAGGATTTATATCATCAACCGCATGGTAGACCCAACTATGCAGGATCCCCTAAATAAACCCCAAACCCTAAGCCCTAAACCAACACGCTGAAAGTTCTCCCGTTGGCTATGCGTCTGGGATTGAAGGTCTCGGGTATATAGCCGGAGACCTCACACGCAGGGAGCCACCATTTCAACGGCTTTACAAGGTGTTTTCGAATGTCTTTGAGTGTGGATCACTTTGAAGATCCTCATTGGCACTAAACCCTAGACCCTAAACTTTAAACCCTGAGCCCTAAACCCTAAACCCCAAACCGTGGACCCTAAACCCTGAACCCCAAACCGTGAACCCTAAACCCTGAAGCCTGAACCCTATACCCCCAAACCGTGAACCCTAAACCCCAAACCGTGGACCCTAAACCCTAAACCCTGAACCCTAAACCGGATCTTTGTGGGTTCTACGATCTAGGATAGAAGGTCTGGGACTCCCAGGCTGATCAGGGGTTTCGAAGTCCTACGGTTGATGCTATACAACCTGGGGTTCCTTTAAAGGGATCTATAGGGGTACCCAGAAAAGGTTCCTTTAAGGGATCTATAGGGGTTTTAGGGTCCAGGGTTTAAGGTTTAGGTTGATGATCTAAATCTTGCATTACCCACAATAGAAAATATACCATAATTCCCATAGTCTAGGTCCTTAAGGTAATGCAGGATTTCTATCATCAAACGGAACTTACTTCGGTGTTGGGCGCTTGAGGGATTAGGAGATGGAGGGTGTGTTTCATAGTAAAGGTTAAGATTTGCTGAAATCCCTACTGGAACCGTGAACCCTATCTTAGGGGCTGAGTACCGTTAACCCCTTGAGTTATAGTAGGATTACATTAAGCCCTAAACCCTAAACCCTAAACCCTAAACATTAAGCCCCAAAAGGTTAAAAGGGTTACCTGCTCAGCCCCTAAGCTATATTGCAACCCTTCCTTAAACTCGGTCCAAAGGGGTGCTACTGGGTTTAGGGTTTAGGGTTTCTGACCCCTGCAGTAGATGAGCCTTCACCGTCCAGAGAGGAAAGAGGCATTGGTGCACCGTCGTCTGCCTCATTTTTTGGAGGAGATAATTGGTCTACCCTAAACCCTAAACTTTCCTAAACCCTCTCCGGGGCCCTGACCCGAAATTGTACCTGCCATTTTTAAGTACCAAGTATTGTAGGAAATATAGCATAAGCTTGGGTTTAAGGTTATGCTTGTCCAACAGTAACAAGAGGCAGATTCCGGGCACCTGCATCCTAAAGCCTACCTTAACCCCAAAACAGCCTGCCTTTTTCAGAGCTTATTTAAGGAAACCATGATAAGGAACTCTAAAAAGGAAGGTTTTTAAGGGTCCAAGTAGACCACAAACCTGGTCGTTTTCGGGCCTTGGCTCGGGAACGTACCTCATACTGTGGGTTTACTCCTCGCTCAATGTAGAAGCCTGAAGAATTACCAGTGCTGTTCCTTAGGTTTCCATGTTGTAAGTATACTGTATACACCAGAACTCTATTTTATATGTAACACCCAGGGTCCGAGGACCCAATAATCATATGCTCGCCAAAATCCTAACCTACATAACTACCATCCTAAAACCGAGTACCTAATTGTTGGGTCCTTTGGGCACTTGGGGTTTAAGGCATCTATGTTATTCAGTTATTCAGGGCTTGCAGCTTGAGGTTCTGGAACTCAGCGTTAAGGAACGCGGCACTCCCCTAAACCCTAAACCCCTAAACCCCGGACCCTAGTAAACGACCATGCCTTAACACAGGCTAACATACCCTAGGGGTCCAAAGGACCTAGGCACTAGAAGGTTCCTTTAAGGGCTCCTTTCCTTTAAGGGCTCCCCAGGGGTTCCTTGAAGGGCGGGTCCTAGCTATACGTACCCATAGACTTTCCCTAAGGCTCCGTCTACCCTACTGAAGCCGTAAAAGGGGTCACTATATGGGCACTTTAAGGCCTAAGTACGTACTATATGGGTACATGGAGCCTTTGACTTTGTTGAGGCACCATTACCCAGAGGCTCCATATATAGTACCATTATGGAATTACCCCCCTAAGACCATATATGGACATATATATATATATATATATATATATATGGAGCCTCTGGGTTAGGTACTTTGGAAATTCCCCATCTATCAAGGACTTCAGAGTTTTGCGCCTGGCAGGGGCGGTTCGGGAATTCATAAGGACCCTCGTAGGGAGGAGGGGAGTTGGCGGCCTTAATACCCATACTCCCCTATCTCCCTCCCCCTACCCCCCTAAACCCTAACCCCTAAAGCCTTCAACCCTAACCCAGAGGGTCCAAGTACTCCCTATTATATGACTTTAGGGCCTTATTAGGTACCAAAAACCATAAATAAGGAATGGACTACTTCGGTTGATGATATAAACCCTGCACTACCTTATGGACCCTAAACTATGGGAATTATGGTATATTCCTTATTATGGGTAATGCAGGATTTATATCATCAACCCTTGCACCCTTGGGGTAAACCCTAAACCCCGGGTCCCTATCAGGAATCACGGGCCAACAGCCGAGTCACACCGGGCAGCTCGGAGTGCTGTCAACAGCCGCACAGGCAACGGCACCCATGGCGATGCCAAGATGATACAGTGATTACCTACGGGGGCCTTAATAAATAAAATAGGGTTCCTGTAAGCGGGTCCTGTAAGGGTTGCTATAACGGGTATTACGGGGGTTTAACGTAGGGGCCGTAATATTTAGAATAGGGTTTTGGGGTGGGCCCATTACTCTATGTATAACTGTATAAGGAGCCCCCGAAATAGTATTGGTAATTATTTAGGCGCCTATAGTAGGCTGTCCTTACATAGCCAAGTAGGGCAACGTGTGCACGCGTAGTTAGTTGGCACTTCCTGCGAGTCCAATCGCCAGGGAACTGACCAACACAAGAACTGGACCATAGGGGGCACCAATCATTCGAACGAGGTGTTGAAAAATATTATCTTGTATAAGACAGGGACAATATCGAACAATTACCAATTTCTTGTAGCATCAAATCAGTTGTGGACTGTTAAGAACAATACTACCCATTGTTCAGCCCCCTATGTCATCGATTTCTTTATCTGGGAGCCGACCCTGCGATGAACGATCGCAGCGAAAAAAGAGTTGACCGGAAGGGTTGTAAAACAGAACCCAGAACCCTGAACCCTAAACCCAGAACCCTAAACCCAGAACCCTAAACCTTGAAACCCTGAACATCCTTGAACCCCGAAGCCATCTTAACTCCAATTGTAGTTTGTCTAGACCTATAGATAAGAGTAACCTAGGCATAAAAAGGGTGCCCTTTTTGGCTTAAAGGGGCTTATAAGGGAACCTGAAGCCTCAAAAAAGGGAATAAGGGCCTACTCTGGGTCCTAGTTGTAGTATTTCCGGGCAGGGGTTAACTTCAAGTGGTGGCCGTTCAAGACGCCAGTGTGTTCAACCAACGCCATCTGTAAATCGTACGGCTGACGATATGAATGCTGCATTACGTTAGTGACCCTAGACTACGCGGAAGTATGGTGTATTCATGTGTATTCCTTATTGTGGGTGATGCAGGATCTATATCCTCTGAACTTTTTTGGGAGCATCATGGCGAAATGAGGCACACCCTTCCTAGGGCTTGGGCTCTCCCCTAGTCGGAATCGGAAAGGAACCTCTTCCGCAAGGGCATACATACATCCCAAGGGTCCAAGCACCTATACCTACATCTAAGTGTGTACAATATATATATATATATATATATATGTATGTATACATATATATATATATGTGTATATATATATATATATATGTAGAGAGAGAGAGAGAGAGAGAGAGAGAGAGAGAGAGAGAGAGAGAGAGAGAGAGAGAGAGGGAGAGACGGACGAACCATATACTAACCTACAGAGTTTTTATCCCTAAACCCAGGTACCTATTTAACCGATTCTTTGGACCCAAAGGCGAGCAACAATCACATCTACATTTACATGGACCGCCTCGGGAATAGGTTCATCAACCTAAACCCTGATTCCTAAACCCAAAGTCCTGAACCTTAAACCCTAAATCCCCGAGACCCTAAACCCCCATACTAAGACCATATCCCCTAAGACCCTAAACCCCCTCTCGCCATCAACCAGGCCTCAACGAAGTTGGGGCCCAGATTCAACAAACATAGATGCCCGGCTCTTCTAATCTAGGCGCATATCGTATATACACATACCAGCTACATACTTGCCTTCTATAAAATATGTATTCATTTATATCTACTCGCAACGTTGTAAGGTTCTTCCTCAAGGCCCCGAGGCAAGCACAGACACCCGTAGTGTGGAGAAAAACCTCTATCCCAAACCGCCCAAAAACTATAAAGCACTACCACTCAAGGTTGCCATTCTACATACTTTTGTGGTCCAGGTAAGCCCCAAAGCCCAGAGCCCGCGACTGCAACGAGACCAAGTAGCTCAATCTAAATTCCCCGAAGCCAAGGTTAGCATTGGCTTAAATCTAAATCATACAACTTGTTGTACCTAATTGGACTAATTAAGATCACCTGAACCTCCAAACACAGCTCCAAAGACAGCCTGAGCACTGGCTTCCAAGAGCGATATGAGGGGCACCGCCATACTGACAGATTTGTTTTTGACTGGGGACAGCCTTTGGGTTCCTGTTGAAAGTTCCTATAAGGGCTCCTGCTCCATGGGGGTAGCTCTACACAAGAGCTCTATTGGGTTTTCAAGTTGGTTGGTTGGTTAGTTGGTTGGTTGGTTTAGGGATGAGGGCGGATTTGGGGAATGTGGCTTAAGGCTTTTAGGGTGCTACAACGGCGCTTAAGGCTTTGTTTAATTCTAATTTCTTACGCGAGTCACACTCCCTTACGAGAAGATATGTATTAAACAAAAAACGAAAAGTCAACGTATTCAAGCTTTTAAATTGGAACAGTTAGGATTGAGGGGGGTTCGGATGCAAAGCGCGGGGCTTGCGGCTAAGTGAGTTCGAGTTTCGGGGCTCTTAGGGCTCCGTGCTGGTTCAGGGGTTCGGGTTTAGGGTTGAGGGTTCAGGGTTCAGGATTGCAGCAGTCTGATGTTTTTGACTTTTCTGATCGAAGTTGATGTAGGACGGCTGATTATTAGAATGAAGCCCGGAGGTATCTTACAGTAGAACAACCAGTCCCGAACGACAAAAAGTGTGCGGCCCGCAGAAGGAGGGGTGGCAGGGCATTTGAACCTGAGCCGAACAGAAAACCCACGAGTGCGGGCATCTGAACTCTGAAAGCTGCCTCGGGCAGATAGATCGCTGGGCGCAAGACACGATCCTATGTCGCAGAACGCCAACTTTGGTGTGGCATTGCTGAATTCGTGTTCTACATGCCCGAAATCGCAGCCACATCTTTGAGGCGAACACACTGAAATTCGAGCCATAACATGATGATGACGAGTTGTCGATGAAACGCTTCGTACATTTGGTGACATCCACTCCAACGGTGGAAAGACCTACTTTTCTATCATCATCATCATCATCATCATCATCATCATCATCACCATCAATAGTAATGATAAAGCATTGATAGCACTATATTATGTGTGATGACTATTGTTGTTGTTGTTATTGCTCTTTTCAGGCCCTGAGCTGCCCTGCCTGGTCTGTCGTGCAGGGAACATACACGAAGCCGATTTTGCTCATTGCCTCGGTATTCCCATTGGTATGCAGGCCCGAGTTATAGGGTTTTGGTGTAATATGGGGGCCTTAATAAATGAAAAAAGGGTTTGGGGCCCAGTATACTGTAATTATGAAAAGGAACCACCACCATAGTGTTGGTAATTATTTAGGGCCCTATATTATAATGTTGGACCCGTTTACAAGGAACCCATAAAGGAACCCTTAGGTACTGGGAAGCTAACAGTAGATCTTCGGACATCGAGGACCTCCTTCCCTTCCCAAGAGGGTCCCTGGGCTTCCTTTACGGGTTTCTTTCAGGGTTCCTTCAAGGGCTCCTTTAAGGGTTCCTCTAAGGGGCCTATATGGTTTAGGGTATGAGGGTCCATAGATACTACCATGATGGAATGAGGTTTCCAGAACCATAATTAACAGAGATGGTCTTTTGGGACCCACTTCCATACTGATAGTACATGGAGCGTCGGGGGGCTTAGGAAGTAGCTACCTTATAGACTTATAAGTATCATAACCCCGATAAGGATCCCTTTAAGGATACTTAAAACTCCACTTACTACCTACTTACGAAGTCCTGGACCCTCCAAGTGGGGTCGACCCAATGCAACACAGATAAGCCCCGAGGATCCTCAGGCCACGGCCAACGCAGTGGAGACTTCGCTCGCACCTTTAGGCTTTGGCTTAGCCAAATAGTACAGTCTTAAAGCACGAATTCCGTGGTACCTAAACCCTCTGTTCAAACACTTGGAACCTTAAGCGACACATACCCAAAGGCCTCGGTTTAGGCTTTAGGATTTTGGTATATATAGTTGCTGAAATACCCCTGGACTCGTGGGGGTACATACGGTGTTTCGGAAAAGCTTAAAAGAACACATGGGGTTTGTCGTGGATTCTCTGGAGATGTGTAAACGTAATTACCCTATCGGTCGACGTACCTACATAGTATGTAGCCTTCAGGGATTCGATCGTACAAGGGGCCCATATGACAAATCCCTAAACCCTCAAGCGTCAGCCTAAACATTATAAACTTTAAACGTTAAACTCTTGCTGAATGATGTCTCGGGGTTCATGTGGAAGACATTAAAGTTGTCAGGTCTGAAGCTTTTCGCGTCCCAAGATGTACCCCCGATGAATGTTACAGAATCTTCTTAATGTCTTGCATGAAGCCTGTCCGCTTACGGGTTTCGAGGGCTTCATACGGCATCAAAAAAATGCTTGGAGGAAGAAGCACTGTACTTCAACCATATGGAGCCTCGTTTAGATGTATTGCATACGAACGTTATAGGGTTTAGGGCCTGACCGTCAGCGGTCATAAAACGAACATACTAGACCCCCAAATCACCTATGAAGCCTCGAATTCAATCGTATACGTAATGTGAGAACCGACTTCGACCCCAGTCACACCATGTATGTCCTGATTTTCCGCAGTGCCCCGGAGGCCCTTTGACGACCCAGCTGATTGAGGTCCATTTGCACTTTAAGATGTTACAAGCGTGCCAGTGTTAGCTTGCAAACAGCAGCAACACGTGTCAGTGGTACCGAGTAACTACTGCGGAGATCGGAAGCCCGATCTTCCTACAGTCCTGGACGTATGCGGGGCCTTAACTGTGCTCAAATTGTAACACCGGAAGTGTATTTGCATGCTTAATACTGGCCCAAACTGTCCATGCTCAGATAATCTCAAATAAACCTGCATCGGGTGAAAAACTTGCTTGATCTGGCTTCAGCGACTCCACAACGGACCCAAATAGGCAGCAACTGCCTAATTGAAAAAAGTTTTTTGTGTGCATCCCCATGGCTCCCGAAAACAGCATCTGATACCCAGGCTACCGTTCATAACAGGAGGTAACGTTTATCAGTTGCCGTAGTGTTCAATGTGAGAAGCAAGCCATGAAAGGCAACCGGCCGTGCCACTGCCACACCAAAAGTCTAATACGAGCACGTGC